TTCACTGCCGTTTGGTCATGTTGTCACCACTGTGCTCTACCCTGTGGGTCTTGAACCCATTCTTATAAGGTAGCCGGGAACCTCCTGCCAAAATGAACCCAGCATGGCGGGAGACAGTGCAGCCAGTGTGCCTGGGAGCCCAGGTCCCTGGAGATATGAGCTGCTGCCTCTCGGAAGGGGGTCCTCTTTAGACCCCTAGGGAGGAGGCAGTCTCCATTCACCATCCTCTTCCGCACAGATTTGGAAGAATGAGGGTGAAGGAGGGAATGGGTGGCTGCTGGCTCTGCTCCTGTTTTATCAACGCCTAACCCCACGGGGCACCCTTGTGCTGCCTGCAATCACCCCTCAACCTGTGCATGTCATCCAGCAAAGCTTTCTTTTGCAAACCAGTTCAAGACTGCTTTTAGCCCCCACAAACGTTCCTCACATTTCCTAAGTTCTCCTTGTAGCTGGATCCTGGACTCCATGTCTTCCTTTTGCTGCTCTAGTTTAACCGGGGGCTTGCAGAGGAGGGAGCCTGTAGCCGTCTTGGCAGCAAAAACTTGCCCAAGGGTACATCTGCTTCTTGAGGAAGTACCAGGGGTCAGCCCCCAGCGGCCTGCTGCCCATCGTGTGTCTTCCTCAGGCCAGGCTGTTCCCCTAAGCCGTGCAGCACCCCGCTCCCCAACGCCACCGGCTGCAGCCTTGCAGGGGCACAAGCTCAGGGCGAGATGTGTGCTGCTCCCTTTTCCCTGGCTGGTGGGCCTGGCTTTGGGGATGGCTCTGCAGGGAGCAAGGGTGCCAGCCCCCACTCTGCTCACCAGGCAGTGAGCCAGGGGATCTCCCTCTGCTTGGGGAAGGGGTGCCTTTGAAAAATTTGCTCAAAGGCGTCTGATAGACTAGCAGGTGTTTCTGCCTGCATCTCCCAGGGTTCCTAAACCCTAGGAAACTCATCAGGCCTCATCCCAGGGAAAGAGGCCGATTCCCCTAAGGGGAGGGGCTCAGGCCTCAGGCGGCAGGAGGCCAGGAGTCCTTGCTGCCACCTGAGCAAGGCAGGGCCTGGAGCAGATGCAGAGGGTCAGGACTTCCCATCCTCCCCTCGTGCTGCCTGAAGCCTGAGCCCCTTCCCTTGGGAGAAATGAGGGGAGTCCCTCCTGAGAGCGGGGCTTGCCGAGGGAAAAGATGAGGCCTCTGGGGTGGGAAGGAAGAGGGGCCTGGGGACCAGAAGGTTTACCTGCCCCTCTCAGCCTCAGTTTGTGCATCTGTAAAATGGCACAAGAGCTTGGATTATAGTAAATAATAAATGGTGCCATCCTGGAGACTTTGCCAAGACTCTGGCCTATCTTGATTGTCAGAGCATCCTCATCTCTGGAAGGTGAGACTGGAATGAAGGAGGCCGAAAACCCTTAGTCCCAGGTGGGACAGAGGCAGCTGGAGCTGAGGGTCCAGGTCCCTCAGTCCCAACCCCCTCAAAGCCCTTTGCAAATCTTGGGGGCAGGATTTCAAGGCCATGGGCCCTGGGGTGGGGGTGGGTGATAAAAATAACCCCTCCTTAGTGTCCTCCTGCAGTTCTGTTAACAAAGCTCTTTCCAACAGAGCTTTGTAGCAGCTGGCTACCTGAGGCAGGCAGCACGGGGTCACTAGTTCTGCCTTCCTGCAGGCTGACTGAGGGCTTCGGCCGATGTCCCATGGTTAGTAAGGGATAGTCAGAGCCCAAAAGGGGGACCTGACCTTTGACTCCTGATCTAACTCTCTTTCTCCTTCTTGCATCTGGGCATGTGGTCTCCCTGGGTTTACCCAGGGCATTGTCACCTTACACATCCCTGCCGTTCTGTTGGATACTCCAGGGGAGTTTGTTAAAAAAAAAAAAAGGCGTATTTCTGGGCCCTGCACCCAGAGATCCTGACATCCTGGATCTTCATGAGAGCCCAGGAATCTCCATTTTAAACAAAATCCCCAGATGTTGCTAAAGCAGGGGGTCCTTGCCTGCACATTGAGACACACAGGCCAACAATGGGTTAGTCAGTCTGGATGAGACCTGTGCTGGGGGCCGTGACGCGGCAGGGCAGCATGGCCAGGTCCCTACCTCCACGGACAGCTAAGGATGCTGCAGGGGAAAAACCCCTGGGTGGAGTGTTTCAGAGCTGGGTTCTCATTCCACCTTTGACCCTGACTCAGAACAGCCAGTTCCAGGCCATTTCCCATCTACAGCAGGAGGCTGGCCCAGGAGCTGTTTCCCAAGCCATCTCCACAACTGCCTTTTGGCTGTTCTGTTTCCATGGGCTGGGCTAGGAAGGAACGTCTCCCTCACAGGGTGGGTCCCCTGTGGATGGGCCAGCAAGGAGGGAAGGCAAATAGGTGGCCAGTACTCCCGCTGTTCCACTTGCCTACCTGGTACCACCTTGACCCATAAGCCCATGCAACCTCCATCCCTTCCTAGAGCACAGAGGCCCCGCCGGTGCTGTCTGCTGTCTGCTCATCCCCTCTCTGGGGTTCCTGGCTGAGTTTCAGCCTGGCCAGCTCCCTTTCTCATACCCACACTGACTTTTTAGTAAATGCTGCTTTGTTTATAAAGCAGGATGATTCCTTTTAAATGAGGTAACCTAGAGGAGTCAAATTCATAGAGATGGAAAGTAGATGGTGGTTGCCAGGGGCTGTGGGAAGGGGGAGTTGATGGTTCATGGGCACAGAGTTTCAGTTTGGGGTGATGAAAAAGTTCTGGAGGTGGATGGTGGTGACGGTTACACAACACTGTGAATGTGCGTAATGCCGCAGTTCAGTTTTAGAAATGGTTAAAATGGTATAATTCATGTTTGTATATTTGACCACAATTTCCAAAGACGAAGCAGCAGCAGGGCGGGGAGAAGGGGGTGTCACATCCGGACCAGGCCCTGTTCCTCTCTGTGCTAGCCTGGACTTTTTGCCGTGGGAGCCCCAGAATTGGGATTTTGAGGTGGATGTGGCTGGTGTATCATTTCAGAGGAGACAAATACTGAGTTTCAAAGTCAGCACAGTTCGAGGGAGTGAACAGCAGCAAAAGAAACTAGGACAGTATCTGGCGTTCTTATGCAGCTTGGGCCCAAAAGTCAAACACCTCCGGGTCCAAAGGCCGACTCCCCTCCCAATGCCTGAGTGACCTTGGGCAGCTTCCTTAACCTCCCTGAGCTTCAGCTTCCCCTTCAGTAAAATGAGGATCATGTGTGAGGAGGGTTGGCCCAGGATCTGCAACCTACTGATATGTACCAGATGGCAAATGTTAGTCTCATAATGAATTGGAAGATTTGTATCTTCTAACTCATCTCTCTAGCAGAAGGGGAAACTGAGGCCCAGAGAGGTTATTTGACTTGCCCAAGGCCACACCGCCAGCCGATTACTGAGCTGTGACCTCAAGATATTGGACTCCAACCCAGATCTCTCTGCACCCACTCGAAGCTGTGGTGCAGTTAAGCGAGAGATTGGGAAGCCACGTGGAATGGGCATCAGGCTGCCACATGTCCCTGTGTGTTCTCAAACGTGGTGACAGAGCTGGCCGCCACCAGCATCCCTCCTTCTCATCTCTTCAGGATAGTCCTTTATGGGGAAGAGGTAAATTTTAGCAGCCAAGCCTTTTTGTGGCTTAAGTGTGGGTAGAGATCCCTAGGCTTTCTACAGCTTTGCCACATTCAGATGGCTGGCCTTGTACTATAGGCATGCGGGAGCAGGGACCTCACCTGGCGTGAATTACTGTGAACTTCTCATCTTGGTTCAAGGAAGGGCCTATGACAATTGTACCAGGGTCATATGAGACCAGCTTTTAAGTATCTTCTTTGGAGAAAGATGTACTCTTGGTGAGGAAACCGCCACAGAAGGCGGAGGCATTGGAGTGAGTTCCTGAGGGCTTTAAGGAATCAGACATGCATGCATTTGTTCATTCATTCCCAACCTGTAATGACTCAGTGTCACTCTATGCCAGGGATTAGGGGTAAAGGAGAGAAATCAGACGGTGTCTCTTGAGCCTGAGTTGGGGGATCAGGTAGATAGTCACCACAAAGTAAGATAAAGTCCAAGGGAGGGAGGGTGGTGATTGATGTTCCAAGGCCTATAGGAACACCCAGGAAAGAGGCACCGAGCCTGGGGAGGGTAGAAAAGCTTCATGGAGGTGACGTTTGAGCCGTGGCCAGAAGGAGAAGGCCTTTCCAGGAAGAGGAAGGGGAAAAGGCCCTGCTGGTTAGCACACAGGCCAAGATGCTATAACAAGAAAACCAAAAACACATGGACTTAATTAAACAAGGTGGGGTCGGCAGTTAAGGCTTACGTGGTGGCTTGGGGCTGGTGGGGGCCCAGCATGCTTGTTGCCAGCCCTCCCTAACTGAAGACACCTCCCCACCACACCTACACACCCACATTCTAGTCTTTGGGAAGAAGGAAATAGGAGGACGAGCCTAATCCCTTAAAGGTCGCAACCAGGAGGTGGTACACAGAGCTTCTCTCCTTATAAGCCATTGGCCAGAACTTGGTCACATGGCCACTACAGATGCAAGGAAGGCTGGGAAATGTAGTCTTTATCTGGGTGGCCATGCTGAAATTCCAATTATTGTATAAGGAGAGAAGAGAGATTGGGGGTGGGGGGAAGTCAATGCGGGAGTCAAAGCCACATGCAAAGACAAGGCAAAGGAGAAAGAGCTTGCATATTTGTTGATTTGCAAGTGGTTTGTGACATGACAGGAGTGCAACAGATGACTGGAGAAGGAGGCAGGGTCCTGCGTATCATTCCAAGGATTCAGAGTGTATGTGTATGTAATGGGAGCATTGAAGGTGCTTAGCCAGGGGCTGGCACAGGCGGTGACGCAGACCTGAGCTAGGGCACTCAAAGCGGGGGTGGAGAGAGCACGTGGGCTGAGAAACACTTAGGGGGTGGTGAAGACTTCTCCCATTATTGAACAGGAAGCAGAGCCCTTGATTCCGAGCTCTGGAATCCTCTCCGCCGGGAGGAGGGGGGAGGGAGAACAATAACCATAACCTCTTTTCTCACTTCCTCTCAGACTGTTCTTCGGATAGTGGTGCTCGGGATCTGGGATTACATTGAAAACAAAATAGAGGTAAAGACCAATGTCCATCTGTACCCCCCAAGCCAGCCATCCTGGAAGCCAGGAAATGTCACTGTCCCATCCATCCCAGGGTGGGAGACATCAACAAAGGCCATCTCCTTCCCACACTGGACACAGGAGTCTGTTCAGCTGTGCCTTTGGGTGGGTGGGGAGGGGGGTGAACTGAGAAAGTTTCCAGCAAAGGAATGGTCTAAAAAATCTCCTTGACTTTCTGCAAAATTTTTAAAGTTATTCTTTTTTTTTTTTTAACATCTTTATTGGAGTATAATTGCTTTACAACGGTGTGTTAGTTTCTGCTGTATAACAAAGTGAATCAGCTACACATATACATATATCCCCATATCCCCTCCTTCTTGTGTCTCCCTCCCACCCTCCCTATCCCACCCCTCTAGGTGGTCACGAACCACGGAGCTGATCTCCCTGTGCCATGCGGCTGCTTTCCACTAGCTATCAGTTTTACATTTGGTGGTGTCTATATGTCCATGCCATAAAAAGTTATTCTTGAATCATTTTGGAAAGCTTTTGAAATGTGTTTTAAAACAAATCCACTCTAAAATGGCCCCATGATCAGAGAGCTGAGTGGGGGAACCATAAAAGTGTTTCTCAGCCTGGGTTTCTGCAGAGCAAACCGGTTGCTTTGTTTTGTATAAAAGCAGGTGGCGTGTGGTGGGTGGAGATGAGGTGCGGGAGAGGCTGGCTGACCCCCAGAGTTTGGTGTGCACAGGACAAGGCAAGGCTGTCAGTGTCTGCTGCCCACTCCTTCCTCACCACCCCATTCCCCACCACACACCCTTTTTAGCCTCTTTGGGCCAAATGCTGGGAGCAGACATAGGGGCCTGGCCTGTGGAAGTCTCAGACCAGGCCAGGCTGGAACAGGCAGATGGAAGGTCAAGGCCCAGAGCTGAAGCACAGGCTGGGTCCCCTTCTCTCCGAGCTTTGCCTCCGCGCAGGGTTAGAGACTCAGCACCAGCACCAGATGCAGATGAGACGTGGGCTCTAGGCCGTTGCTTCCCAGGGGGAAGGGGCCTGCCTTCAGCCTCCACTGCCAGTGAGGGATTCAGTGAGGCCAGCACAGGAAACCTGCGACACGGGATGCAAGCCCCATCCCGAGAAGGGACAAGATGCTGGAGACATATGCTTGCAAAAGAAGCTTGGAACAGCCCGAGGCCGTCTGAACCAAGACTGGCGATGGGCTGAGGTCACTTGGAGGAGAGAGAGTGCTCAGGGGCACGTCTGGGGTGGGAGGTCCCTAAAGACTAAGGAGGGTCACGAGAGGCAGCCAGGGATGGGGGTGAACTTCTGGGGGGGGTGCAGGGGATCACTGGCCAGCACCCCTGCTTTGCCTGACCTGGTCTCTGGTCCCAGGACATTCAGGAAGTTGGCCCAGGGCACTGAAATCCACCTCCTCTCACAGGTGTTTGATGGGGCTGTGATCATCCTGTCCTTGGCCCCGATGGTGGCGTCCACTGTGGCTAATGGGCCCAGGAGCCCCTGGGATGCCATCAGCCTCATCGTCATGCTCCGGATCTGGCGGGTGAAGAGGGTCATTGATGGTGAGTGGCCCGAAAGGGGTGAGTTCGAGGCAGGAAGGATGGTCTCTGGGGTCTCTCATCCCCTTATCGGGGTACCCTCTCCCTGGTCCCCAGCCCCATGTCCCATCCTGTGAACACTGTGGGGTTTGACATCTTGCCAGGGAGCCCCTAATCCAGAGTCCTCATCAAACTGAGATGTGATCAGGTCCAGCTTTGTAAGGCCCACACAGGAAAGGCACTGGGAGATCATCTAGTCCATTCCTCTCATTTCACAGATGGGGAAACTGAAGCCAAGAGGGATGAGGGTCACACAGGAAACCAGCTCTGAGTCAGCAGTGAAGCCCAGGACCCCTGAAGCTGTGAACAGCTGTGAAGCTGTTCAGCTTCCCCCATCTGCACAAGCTCTGCTCTTGGCTCTGTCCCTGAGGGGCTGCCACTGGCTGGGAGCTCATGGGGCCCCGTAATCCAGAGTCCAGGCTCTCTCTCTGGGTCTCAATATATGTCTTTTATAAGTAGGATCCACTGTGAGTAACAGAGACTCAGAATAGCAGTGACTAAGACAAAACAGAAGCTTATTTCTCCCACATGAAAGCCTGAGCCAGTAAGGTAGGCAGTCCAGGGCCAATAAGGAGCTTCTGAAGTCATGATTCCAGGTTCCTCTTGTATTGTTGCTTTGCTGCGCATGGCCTGCTTTCCAAAGTCACCCTCATGGTTCAAGATGGCTGCTTCAGTGCCTGCCATCACATCCTCATTTCGGCCAATAGGAAAAAGGAAGGGAGGAAGAAGATAAAGAAGCAAAAGGAAAGCCCCAGCTGCCTTTTCTTTTTACACATCTTTATTGAGATATAGTTCACACACCGTAAAACACACATTTAAAGTACACAATTGAATGATTTTTAGTATATTCATAGAATTGTGCAAACATCACCAAAATCTAAGTTTGGAGCATTTTTATCACTTCAAAAAGAAACCCATACCCATTAATTAGCAGTCACTCCCCATTCCCCTCCAGCCTTAAGCAACCACTAATCTACTTTCTGTCTGAATAGATTTACCTCTTCTGGACATTTCATATAAGTGGAATCATTTATGTGGTCCGTTGTGTTTGGCATCTTTCACTTAACAGAATGTTTTCAAGGCTGATCCACGTTGTAGTATGCATCAGTACTTTATTCCTTTTTATTGTCAAATAGTATTCTATTGTATAGATATACCACATTTTATTTATCCATTTGTCAGTTGATGGACATTTAGTCTGTTTCCACTTTGGGCTGCTGTGGACACTCATGTACAAGTTTTTGTATGGACATATGTTTTCATTTCTCTTAGATTCCTGGGTATGGAATTACTGGGGCCATATGGTCACTCCTTGTTGAATATTTTGAAGAACTCCTGTTTTCCAGAGCAGCTGCCCTATTTTACATTCCCACCAGCAATGTGGGAGGGTTCTAATATTTCCACTTCCTCCTCAACTCCAGGTGCCTTTTAAGGAAGGCTTCTGGAAGCCGCTGCACAACACCTGCACTTGCATCCTGTCGTCCAGGATGTAGTCTCATGGCTTCTCACAGCTGCAAAGGAGACTGGAAAATATAGTCCTCATACCAGGCAGCTGTGCACACAGCCAAAATTAAGGGTTCTTCTATCACTATGGAAAAGGAAAAAAAAAACAACGATATCTTAGTCGTGATGGGTTAGGGTTCTAGCCCTCTTATAGTTTCTGGGTGCTGTTGGGTACCTGACACCACCGCCCCCGCCCCAGTTCTTCCAGGAACCACACCTGGGCCTGAGCCTGCTGCTGGCTGGATGCTGGGACCAGCCCCTCCCCCACCAAGCCCTGCCGCTGCCAAGCTGTTCACGGGGCTGTCTCTGTTTTCCAGCCTACGTCCTGCCTGTGAAGGTGGAGATGGAGATGGTCATCCAGCAGTACGAGAAGGCCAAGGTCATCCAGGACGAGCAGCTGGAGAGACTGACGCAGATCTGTCAGGAGCAAGGGGTAACACGTGGCCACTCTCAGTTCTGCCCAGTTCCGTCCAGGGCTGAGGACCCTAGTGGTTTCTAAAGTCCCCTAGGGTGCCAGAGCTGCAGGTGCCCTGCGGTCAGCGACCTCCTCCAGCCCCTTCACAGACACATGGGAACCTGAGGCCCAGAGTGGGGAGACGCATCTCTAAGGTCACTCATGCCCAGCCCAGCCCAGCCAGGCCCGGACTCCGCCCTGGCTCTGAGGCCAGGCTTCTTTTCATCTCTCCGTGGTGACCAGTCAGCTCTCCAACCTGAACCGGCTGAGTCATCCCCTCAGTTATCAGGGTCTTCTGGGCACGGCGGTCTCTGAAGCAGGGGTCGGATTCTGTGTACAGAGGTTGCTGGGCACCGCTGTGGGCCAGTTGCCACCCAGGACCCCCAGACACACTAGAGAGGCTTCAGCAGCGCCCTCTGCCCTCTAGGAACCCTGGCAAAGACTCAGAGACAGGGACGGGCCCTCCAAGGCTGTGCTGGGCAGAGCCAGGGGGACGGGCAACCGGGGCTCGGAGAGGGTCTGTCTGGGAATCCAGAGGCTTCTCTCAAGGTCCAGCCCCCCAATCCTCTGCTCCCTCCCCCCGGACTTCAACCAAGTCACACACTTCTTTGCCCTCAGTTCTTTCCTCCCTAAGATGAGGGGACCGCTCCCATGTGAGTGGGACAGACAGCCCCTTCTATAGGAGTTTAGGGGAGGGGACTGGGGTGCTCAGGAGGTCGGAGGACAGCAGGGCCCTGCAGCAAGGCTGCAAAGCGCTGTAGAAACATAGCCTCAAGTGCAGGGAATGTTCTAGTACCAGCCGTGCAGGGTGGGAATGCCACAGAGCGACTAGCTCGCAAGGTGGTGGGAACGTGTGTGGGAGGATGGGCCCCAGCCCCGAAGCCCTCGCTGTCAGCCTCCAGGGGTCATGGGAACTCACTGCCGCGGGCCATGCTCGTTCGCACCCGGAGCTGCTTCTCCCTCTAAACTGGATGCTCCCCTAGGGCGGGCTTCGTCCAACTCGTGTTTGTCCCCAGCCCAGCACCCCATACGTGTGGGTCTCCTGGCTCCCCAGCCCCAGGCTCTCGTGGCTGGAGGAGGCGCTGGAGCGGGTGGGGAGTGTGTGGAATTACCCCACAGGAACACGCAGGCCACGTCTTCCAAGTCATCCCCTTGGAATGTCTGTCCGGGAACATTTATCTCTTTATCTACTTGGGGAATACCACGGCCTTTCACTTCAGCACAAAACGCTTATGAGTGACAGGAGGGGCCATCAGGGGACACAGTCCCCAGGGGCACATTGTCCATGGGGTCCCGGGAGTGGGGCCGTCTACACGGAGTGCTAGGCTGGGGAGAAGAATGATGCTCCAGTCCCGAAGCAGTTGGCATCAGCTTCGTGCTTACCCGTGCGTCTGGTCAGCCAGGAGTGTGCACAGGACAGGCCCCTGCCCTCAGGAGGCTCTGGGTGACTCGGGGCATTTAGCAGGCCCACGATAGACAGCAGCAGTCCCGTGTAATGCATGCTTCAGCAAGGACACGTCGGGGGCTCTGGGGGCGGTGGGGTGGACGGGTTTCCAGAGGCGCTGACATTGAGCCACGGACCCCTGGAGAAGGGCGCCAGGTAGAGGGGACAGGTGAGACACGAGAGTGGGCATTGTGCTGGGGGAATCAAGGCTGTTCAGGGTGTGAGCAGAGGCGGGGAGTGCGGGGATTTGGAGGCAGGCTTGGGGAGGGCTGCAGGGCTGACCAGGGAGTTTGGGCTTCATCTAGTTGTGAGGGAAGAAGCCTGGAGTGTTAGAAGCAGGGCCGGGGGGATTTGCTCAGATTTGAGTTTTTGGTGCATCTTTCTGGAAGCCTTTGAAGGACGGATGGGAGAGGCAGGAGTGGAGACGGGAAGCCCGGTAGAGGTGGTAGAACCACCAAGGGGAATGTGGCCTGGGCTTGGGGCAGAGGGAGGTGGAGGGGTCAGGGAGAGGACAGCTCAAGTGTCGTCTAGGACCCGGCCAGAGCGTGGTCAGGCAGCTCTCAGTCTGCTGTCTAATAGGAAAATGAATGCTCTGCTTCGTTGCATTTGGCCACGTGAAAGACACAGACACAGCGCCGCATCTGCCCTCCATAAATGCATGGCCACGTTAACAGCCCACGTGCTGCGTGGCTGATGGCAGGCCACCCCTCCTGGTTTCCACTGTGACCCCGTCCTGAGCCCCCTGGGACCCCACCTTCCTGCCGTCCCGGTTCACGTCACCCTCTATATGTGGCCTCCTTCCCAGGGATCTGGGCCAGAGGGAGACTCCCTTGGATTCTGCACAGGAAAGAGCCAATAAATAAAGACAGATTCCCTCTACGTAGTGACATCTGGAAAAGAGATAAACAGAAACAAACCATTTTAATTTAAAAAACACCTGAAGCCTGTCATCTTAGTTAAGACAGCAAAAAAGGGCCAGATGGCAGGCTGCCAGGGAGGGGGGAGGGGCTGGCCAGAGCCACACGCTGGGTCACTGGGTTCAGCAGAGAAACCACGAACGCTGCTCTCCCAGAGCCGTGCCCGCTCCACAGGGTGGAGCAAATAGACACCTCATTTTCAGCTGGATTTTAAGACCAGGCTTGGGACTTGACTGAGCAAAAAATGCCCTTAAAGAAATGTGAATGCTGGCTCGTGGAATGCCAGGGATGGCTAGGCCCTTTGAGAGAATAGTGCCTGGAATGGTTAGGATGTTAGGGACAGACCTGAGTGCAAAGCCAGCTTGGCTACTTGTGGCTTTGGGCACCAAGGGGACCTCTGTGGACCTTGGTTTTCCTAATCTGAAAAATGGGGATAATAATACAATCCTTGAAGGATGGCTGTGTGATTGCTTAGCCTAAAGCCTGGCACGTGATAAATGGTGACTCTATGGGAACTAACCACCCATTTCTCCACGTACACCCATTTTACAGATAAGAAAATTGAGAAGTGGTGACTTGCCCAAGAGCACAGAGCTAAGAGAGGGCTTTTAGAGCCAGGAGTAGATCCAGGCGTCCTATCTGTGAAGGGTGCTCTTCCCCAGCCCACCTTGCTAAGGATCATGTTCTATGACATTTTTATACCCATGTCACTTCTCAGGGCTCGGTGAAAACATTGATTAGACTGTGCACCAGGGTGTCTTTAAACCACTGCCTGAGGGCAACTCTTCTCTTGCAGGCACAAACCTGGCTGCCCTCAGCTCTCTCAATAGCATTTCCAAAGAGCCTCTTGCTGCTGCCCTCACTCCCACCTCCCCCAACCCCATTCCAGGTCATTCTGTTCATCTTTGTCACAAACTCATGCGCTCTCTCTCTCTCTCTGCCAGCAGGAATTCTTAGGGCTTAATGAAGCAATTTCCAAACTGAATTTGTATATGCTACCTAAGAAATTGAAATTTACCCAAAATTACAATGAAGTGTGTAGAATCTCAGTTTAAACAAAACACTCACTTTGCGTTCACCTTGCTCTCTGCCTGGCATGTATTTGTAAAACTGTTTGCCAACACTTCACTCATCTTAGCTCTTTTTAAAAATAAACTTTATTTTTTAGAACAGATTTATAGGAAAATTGTGATGATAGCACAGAGTTCCCATATACCCTGTACCCCTTTCCCCCATTATTAACATCTTACATTAGTATCATACATTTGTTACAATTAATGAACCGATATTGATATGTTATTATCAAGGCCCACATATTGTTCAGATTTCCTTAGTTTTTATCGAATGTCCTTGATCTGTTCCAGGATCCCATCCAGAACACCACATGACATTGAGTCATCATGTCTCCTTGGGCTCCTCTTGGCTATAAAAGTTCCTCAGACTTGCCTTGTTTGTGATGGCCTTGACAGTTTCGAGGAGTTCTGGTCAGGTATTTTATAGGATGTCTCTCTGTTGGGATTTGACTGATGCTTTTCTCGTGATTAGATTGGAGTTCTGGGTTTTGGGGAGGGAGACAGAGGTCCCGTGCCATTCTCATCCCATCATATCAAAGGTACATACTGTCACTATGACATCACCGTGGATGTTGACGCTGACGTAGTGTTTGTCAGGTCTCTCCGCTGTAAAGTGACTCTTTTTAAATTCATCTTAGCTTTTTTAGAAAGCTTAAATTGCTTCTTACTGTGACCCTGTGGAGACTCTTGGGTGACATGCTTTGCCAGCTTCTTGCATGAATATCTTGCACATTTTATCTTCTGTGCCACATGGCATCTCATTCTTACCACAGGCCACGCCCAAGGTGCCCCAGAACTCCCTTGTGTTATAGATGAGGGGCCCCTGGATTTGGCAGTTGGAGGAATCTGAGGCCAGTTAGGAGATTAGGATGGAACAGGGGTCTCTTACAGCTCATTCTAATCCTTTCCTCCCCCCGGATCACACTGGCCTTCTGGTCTTCACAGGGAGACAGGATTCAGTGCTTCCCTCGTTCCCTCATCTCTCCTGACTACTGGCTCACCTCATCCTTAGCAGACTCCTACTGGAAAGAGGAGCCCAGAGGGGCCAGGGTTGGGGCGGGGGGAGGGAGGGGGACACTGTTGGTCAGTCTCACCTTTCCCAAGCCCTGGCTGACCTTCTGCAGCCTTCTTCCAGATGGCTCATTTCTGTGGTGGAAGCAGGTCGCCTCAGACCCCTGCATTCAACAGTCCTTCGACTGGAAGGCCCTTTCACTTTTATTTTGCTCTGTATTTGGATTTTGTTCTCTGCCCGTCCAGCCAGAATTTTCTTAGGCACTCATCTCTCTGGTACACAGATGGATTCCAGAGGTGGGGTGCTAGTTCCTGCCCTTCAGAGAGATGGTGTGAACTTTTTGTCTCTTTCTTTGTACTGACTGCTTCAGAAATCAAAGCTATTTTAGATGCAGTGGTTAAATCAATGCAGTGATATATTCTTCCAACTTGTTTTAAGAAACCACTTCTGAGGTTTTAGTACATCCCTGCCCAGGACCTTGCTCTGATTCCAAAACATATTCTGAAGTCCCCATTGTACTTGCTCTTTGCTCT